TATCCATTGACTCCAAAAAGCCCTTTCCCAAGGCTGTGACGAAGGGGAAGAAAAACAAGGAAATGCACGTGTAAGGCCGTGCCGCGGGCCGCGTGCACCACGGGGCACAGTAAGGAAGTAGTTAAGGAAGCTCCTTGCTGCGCCTGGGGAGACGGGTCAGAGCGGGCGTGAGTCTCCGTGTTGTGCTTCTCTCGGTGGTCATCACCTTTTGACCCATCTTGGAGTCGACGTGGCCGGCAGCTCCACTCCACCGAGCTTCCCATGCTGCCGGGAGCTGGTGTTTCCACTTGCAAAGCTCAGATGCAACACTTGGCCTTCATCAACCCTGGTGAAGATGCTCTCATCTCCGCTTCGTCCCCAGCTGCTGGGTGGCCACCCTGCCAGAGGTCACCCTCCCCTCTGGTCAACCACCACGACTTCACAGTCCTGCCGAAACCATCCCGGTTAGGTTAAACACTCATCACAGCATTGTTTTTAGGAAGGATACCCTGGAAGAGCTCAGTTAGGGAGCAGGCTGTCATGCAGTTATGTTGGCAGATCTTTGGGGACAGAAGCCCCAGAAGGGACTGGGGACTTGTCCAGATGAGACCCCACCTGGAGTACTGCCTCCAGCTCCCAGGGCCTCAGCACAGGAGAGACATGGACCTGGTGGAGCGGGGCCAGAGGAGGCCCCAGAGCTGCGGGGAGGGCTGGAGCCCCTCTGCTGGGAGGACAGGCTGGGAGAGTTGGGGGGGTTCAGCCTGGAGAAGAGAAGGCTCCAGGGAGATCTTATTGTGGCCTTCCAGTGCCTAAAGGGGCTCCAGGAGAGCTGGGGATGGACTCTACATCCGGGAGGGGAGCGATGGGACGAGGGGGAATGGTTTGACACTGACAGAGGGGAGATTGAGATGAGATGTGAGGAAGAAATTGTTGCCTGTGAGGGCGGTGATCCCCTGGGGCAGGTTGCCCCGAGGAGCTGTGGCTGCCCCATCCCTGGAGGGGTTCAAGGCCAGGTTGGACGGGGCTTGGAGCAACCTGGGCTGGGGGGAAGTGTCCCTACCCATCGCAAGGGGTTGGAGTAGGTGGCCTT